CGCGCCAGCCGCCTGCGCCGTCCCCCACCTCGACTACTGTTTTGGCATCAGATATAACTGTGGGGATGGTGAAAGATTGGGGTAGATCCTGCGATTCTACTTTCACTATAGCTCAGCTACAATCACCGCGTCTGTCTTCAGTTAGCTGAAGCTTGGGGTGGACATCGTCGAGAGCGACGTTCAAACTGTCGGTTCTTGGTCGTGCCTGCGATGAACTTAGGTGAGGCTCCGATCCCGCACAGGACACAGTAGGCTGTGCTATCCAGTCACTTGGCAACCTTCCAAACTTTCTGCAAATTTAAGCGCGGTTCGATAATTTAGAGACGAGTCCGTTCGGTCCTATTAGGTGCCCAAACGCGGATTTGGATCAAACTAGCCCTGCTTTGCCAGTGGAAACTCCGAGAAAAGCTCAGAATAAAGATGAGGGAGAGAGAGACAGAAGGTGCAGTGGCATGGCATCCGTACCGGATTGGTCTCGTTTTCGGCCTAGATGAGGAGGACTGCGCGCCGACTCATCCAGGATGGGCAGCGAGAGATCGAGGAAAATTTCAAAGTTGGAGCGCACAGTTTCACATTCGCAGCAGGTGAGCGAGGTGAGGAGGACTCCGCCGAAGATGCGATCAACCACAGTGCAGAGGCTGAGGGACCGGCCCCAGGCCTTGATCCGGGCCTTAGTCTTCTCATCGGCATCCTAAAGGGGAAACAAATGCACATGCGAGTGAGTGAGTGAGTGCGGTGAGGGGGGGGAGGGCAGGATGTACACGGAAAAGAAAGTGCAGACTGACATGATCCTTTCAGGTCCCTTCTAGTTGTTGTCAGCCAACCATACCAAATACGGCTGACATTTGGGAGTTGAAGCTGGGCAGTTCGGCGCTCTACCAGTGAGCGAAGGCACCCGCTATCTGGTATAGTCTTCGTGTGATTTTTCGACTACACCGATGATAGCGCCTTAGTAGCTTCACGTTTTTGGGTGATCTACACACTACAGTGTCACGGGCAAACGAGGTCGCTAAATCGGTCAGTTTGTCCATAAATTCTGTGAAGACCAAAGTGTTTTCATGCTGCAGCCCTGTCTAAGAGGAAGCACCCCTCCAAATTAGTGACTGTCAACTTGAGGAGGTAGACGATTTCAAAAACCTCTAAATTTACAGAGTAAAAACAAGATTTTCTCCCGAATCGACGCTGCTCTTTGAGTTTTCTCAAGCCTTAGAAAAGG